TTTTCTTATTTTTCCGTTGTCAATTTTTTTTTAATTTGGACATATTTATTGGAACTCCAATATTCCAATTCTCTCGTTAAGCCCGATGATTAACGAGAGAATTAGTTTTCAATAAAACTATCTCGAAAACAAGAAAGGTGTGTAGTGATAAGCTAAGTAAATTTAAAAATTTAAACGGTTTTAAAAAACGTTTAAAAACGTGAGATTCGCTCAAACATTACCCGGCACGGGCGGAAAGGAAGTGCACATGGTCGAATATTTGGCTAAATTTCTTTTTAAAGCTAGATATCCGAAAAACAACCAAGAGAATGCATCATTTTATTCATGCTGTTTTCGAGTCTACCCCTCTCCGGGATTACTAACTCGTTCGTAGGGCTTAGTTAAAAACTTTTTTTCATAATCATGACCCTGAAAAGGGCCGGTTTTGAAACGAAGGCTTATAGTGTAATTTTGAATTGTGTGCGCAAAGAATATTGCTTGTCAACAGTTACCATAGCAACAATTATCTTAGTAACAGTTAAAAGAATTTTTAAAGTTAGGGATATTAACATTATTTCAAATTGTAGACTAAATTTCTACTGTCGGTTGTCTATCCGTTCGTCCGTCCTCTGTTAATTTCGAGTACATGTTACTTGTTTTTCGTTTAATAATTTTAAAAAAGTAATTTCTGATACTGATTCGTTTTTCAAGGTATTTATTTTTATTAAAAAGGTTAAATTGTTTATCTTATGATGTTGGTTTTAAGGTAATTTTGATTTTTTTCCCTTTTTTAGGTTTATATTGAAAACTGTTAGTAATTTTATGTTAAATGCGCCCTGGAGAGCGTAATTAGTTTGTTATTTAACCAGCGATTAGCTTTGGATATTTGGGAGACAATCCGTTTTGTGAATCGAGATTAAATTGATTATTTTTCATTGTCTAGGCAAGATTTAGCCTAGTTTTCTAGTAATAAGTTATTTATTTTGTTTTTTTTATAGTTCTCCCACTTAAGTTTAGAATGGATTTGAGTTTTTTGTATTAATATTTTTAATGTATTAATGCTGTATATATTTATTTGTTATGTATTAACGGATGTGTTGTTTAATCTTGTAGTTTTTATGTTTTTTTCCAGCCTCATGGCTGGAAATGGCTGTACCAGTATGATTAAATAAATATCATGGCTGTACCAGTATGATTAAATAAATATCATGGCTGTACCAGTATGATTAAATAAATAAACAAACTCTAGTACGGAGTCAGATGAAAACTGAGACCAGATATGGAAAGCTTAAGGGCCGAAATTCCGATTAACTATATAGGGGATGTCCATAAATTACGTCATTTTTCTTGAAATTTTTACTCTTTCTCTCGCCTTGTCCCAGTTTGCTCTCAAGTTTCCATAACCGAAAATGCATAAACTGTATAAAATTTAATGAAATAAAACGGGTATCCACTAATGCTCAAACCCTCCTTGTCCGACCTGTCATAACTTCCTCCTTCCTTTCCAGTGTGGACATCATTTTTGGAAAGCCCACTATAAAATGGTTGATCTGTTAGGCGTAATTTATCTGAAACTCTGTGATTGATAAATTTTTAGCGCGAGAATTTCTCACTTCATAAATGGCTGATAAGCACCAGTTTGTCTATAAAAGGCATCACACGTAAAATTTCGTTTGTTTCTGTTGCGTTTGCTTTGCTGTTGCTGTGCTGTCTGAATCAGAATGGCTACAGTGTCTGTTTGTTTAGGTTGCGAGTACAACTACTTTAACGTAGTGGAGTTGCAAATGTTTATGTAAAAATCAAATTATATATTGATAATATAATAGAACGTTAACAGTAATATTAAAAGTTTAATAACATTTTCTTTCCTATAAAATCTCTTTTTTAAAAGAGTAATTTTCTATAAATTAAATTAATTAATGAATAAATAATTAAATAAAAAATAAATAATTTTTAAAACATTATATATTTCGGATTTAAACGAGTAACATTCCTAAATAGTTAACACAATAAATTTACGAGGGGTTGCGGGGGAGACGAGGAGAACGAGATAGAGGGACAAGTAGTTATGTCAATTTTATCATCGCGTGTAATAGCCGGGTTCTTCTCAAGCAAGTTACCTGTGCGAACAGCACGACGTTCCACTGGCGACAGTCACAATCCAGATTGTGGATAAATGGAGATCGAAGTGAGTCGTGGATTGTGTGCGAACGGGGTAGAAAGAAAGAAGTGAGGGAGACGACAGTTGGTGACGGCGCGAAAGTAATACCCCGTTCGCACACAATCCACGACTCACTTCGATCTCCATTTATCCACAATCTGGATTGTGACTGTCGCCAGTGGAACGTCGTGCTGTTCGCACAGGTAACTCGCTTGAGAAGAACCCGGCTATTACACGCGATGATAAAATTGACATAACTACGCGGTAAGTCACGAACACCAACAAACAAAATGGAAGTTTTGGTTAGAAATAAATACTTTTTCTTGCCGTATATCTAATAATAGACAGATGTCATCGTCTCTCCAGATGTCTTTTTTATTTTTCTGTCGATAGCCGGACACGTGTTCAGCAGCCATCTTGTATTTTCTCGCGCGCGTGGGATTGTGGGATCTCTCTTATGACTGGATCTAGTTTCGAGAACTCTCTCCAATCGATCGCGATTTAGCCTCGTTTCAGTCGAGATTGAAACGGTCGAGAGCGTTCGCACCACGGAACTCTCTCCGACCTTAGTCACAATCTAGATCGAAATGCTCGGTGCGAACGGGGTTATAAGAAAGGACAAAAAGACGTTACGAAGGCGAGAACATTATCATTCTATCAAGACGGTTACGAACGCTGGAAGATTATTTTCGTTTCTAGTTCTCTATTTCAATCACCTATTCCTACATATATATACTATTTTTATAATAAATTTAATAAATATAATAAATTTTAATATATATATTAAAATTAAATCCGAGTGTATGCGATTTAAAGCTGCTACACTCGCGTTCGAGTAAATTATAAGATTTTACTGTTTTTTTTAGGACTTTGAACGTGTTAAGCGACAATCAGTTTTTCATTACGACTTTATTCGACTCGAAGAAGTAGGAAGAAATTTCCAAGTTTAACGATTTGTTTTTAAGTTCGGGTTTCTAAAAATGAATAACCAAACCTTTTTAGATTTCCAGCACAAAACTTTTATCAAACAAACGTTTTCGTTACATTTAAGCATTAAGAATTCAGCCAAATATCTAGAAAGTTTTTGTTATTCGTTCTTTAAATACATCGCGGTTGGAAATTTTCTGTCGACTACGTTACTTCCGATTTCTTTCAACATGGAACCATTTTTGTATACTGTTTGGTGTTAAAAGCTACAGATATTTTCGTGTTTAATTGAAAAGTCTGATAAGAAATAAAATTTGTGCGATTCATAAAAGAAATTAAAACAAAGTCGCTCGCGGTCTAACTGGACCTACTCAAACTGCGAACCGCGAGGTACTGGAATAAAAAAAAACTGGATGTGTGAACATTGCTCTGACGCGTGTTGCATCTACAGGTATTGTTTTTTAAGTAAAACATTTCCAAACAGAAAAGTCTTTATGTAGTAGCCTATTGATCCCGCATCTTACATATAAATTATTGTTATATAACTTTACATTTTTAAATTAAAAGAATTAGTTAGACTATATAAAACATATATGCTTATAAATTTAGATAATAAATTTATAGTTATAANTTGATCCCACATCTTACATATAAATTATTGTTATATAACTTTACATTTTTAAATTAAAAGAATTAGTTAGACTATATAAAACATATATGCTTATAAATTTAGATAATAAATTTATAGTTATAAGCATTTAATCTGAATTTTAAAGGAATTTGATTCTGTTCTCCTTTTAACAAGTTAATCTCGAAAAATAAATCGTCGTAATAGAATGTTACGGTGTTAAGGGAAGCGTAACCAGTGGCGGACCGTGGGTGTCAGCCGCCCGGGGCGGAGGAAAATTTCGCCTCCCGCTTATTTAGGTATTTCAATTTAAATGACCAAAATTCAGTTTTGTCACAGAACAAGCAATGAAAAATTCGGTGGTAGGGCAGCGACATGTTTAAAATAGTTCTATTGGATATTAGTGGTGTATATGAACGCAAATGAAAAAAAAGGTCATCAGGTTTCGCAGGATTTCCTCGAATGAAAAAGTTACTACTGTAGTTCACCGGCGAGCCGATTCCCGGACTGTCCGGACGATAGCACTATCGTAGGCGCGATGCAAGTATAGATTAGGATGTTTCAAATTTTTACAAGATATTATTATTATTTATTGTGAAATTGTGCCGCCCCTACCGCCCCCCCTACGGTACACCACTGAGCGTAACTCGAGCAAAGTTCGTCAAAGTGTCCACGCCAAGAAGTAGTCACGTGTTAGCAATAAAGGTTAACTCTGAAGCCCTTTCTACATTCTGGCGGAAGCTCGCTATCGGACGCAACAACGGGTGTTTGTATAATAGTAGTTTACGGTAGGAGGCAACGTGGCGTGCTCATGGCTAAGATTGTTTCGCCGTTTTAGTGTCCATTATGTAGTTTTATGAATGAAAAATTACAAGTTGTGAAAGGTACGCCATTCGTCAATATATATATATATATACACCCACACGGTGATGTAAGTGGTAAGTGTCGTCTCGAGTTTTTTGCTGTATCACCACGTAACTGGATGATGTCGAAACGAGGTCACGTGACACTATTTTGTTCTACTCCGCGATGTGAACAAGGGTTAGGCAATGGCGGCTTCCGCTGGTAAGTAATCCGAGAAGTTTTCGCTTATAGCTCTTAGTATACGCGTCTCCTCGAAAATCACTGTTTAGGGCACATCTACTAGAGAAGTGTCTTAAGAGAGCAATATTAGAAAGGCCTGTATAAAGGATGGACTTTTACCTATATGGATTTTCCCGGAGAATATTATTTCATTGTTTTCTTTCGTGTAATATAAAATGATATAAAAAAATAGATTTTCAAATAATTTCCTTTTATTGGCAGAATGTCCGATTCCGAATTTGAATGCTCTAATTTATCAGAAAGTGAATCTGACGAAAGCTTCACAAGCGGTAGCGATCTAGAATCTAGTGACAGTTTTGATGGAAACATCGATTCTTCAAAAAAATGGTACAGGATAAACGCAGAAAATCCTCCTGCTGCTCCTCCGCGGTTTCCTTTTCTGGCAACTCCTGGGTGTTCCTTTACTCTAAATGATGTGTTGGATCCGTTAGAATATTTCAGATTATTCTTTGATATTAATTTAGTTAATATTATTGTTAAAGAAACTAATCGTTACGCTATGCAACAACCAAAAGCATCCAGAAAGCATTGGGATTCCGTTATAACAGAAGATATTTATGTATTTCTCACAATTTGTATAATTCAGGGAATTATCCATAAACCGGATGAAAAGATGTACTGGACCAGGAATGAAATATTTCTTACGCCAATTTTTAGTAAATTGATGCCAAGAAACAGATTTTTACAAATAAAGAAAAATTTACATTTTAGCAATAATGGCAGTTACCGTCGGACAACCCATCCCAATTCGAAAATAAATAACATTTGGCCAATAGTAGCAAATTTAAATAAAAAATGTTCACATCTTTATGTACCAGAAAGAGATATATCAGTAGACGAGAGTCTTATGCTTTACAAGGGTCGTATTTCGTGGAAACAGGACATTCCTCTGAAACGGTCTCGTTTCGATGTGAAATTCTTTATGCTATGTGAATCTGCATCCGGCTACTTGTACAATTTTATAATTTACACCGGAAAAGGTACTAGTTTTAATGAAAAATACCAAGAAATGCCAATAGCATCCAAAATCGTGTTATCGTTAGCGGATCCGTTGTTAGGCAAAGGCTACTGTCTAACAACGGATAATTATTATACTTCCCCACAGTTAGCGGATTATCTCATATCGTGCCAGACAGATTTGTGCGGAACAGTACGTACCAACAGAAAAGGTGTTCCAGGTGTAATTCGTAACAAAAATATGGAAAAGGGAGAGATAGTAGCAATGCGGAGAGATAAAGTAATGATTTTAAAATGGCAGGATAAGAGTGCTGTTGCTTTACTCTCTACAATCCACAATCCTGTAAAAGTATACAAAGAAATGCGTGACGGTAGCGTACAATCGAAGCCACAGGTTGTGTTGGACTACAACCACACAATGCGAGGTGTAGACCGTTTACACCAACATCTCCATGATTATTCGGTTATGAGAAAAAGGGGAAAGAAATGGTATAAAAAAATATTTTTTCATTTGGTAGATATTTGTTTGTATAATGCATTTGTGTTGTATAAGAAAAATGGTGGCGAAAAGGATAATTTAGGGTTTAGAATGAAGCTCGTTGAACGGCTAATAGAGGAGTATCACACTGGAACGAGGGTAAAGAAACAAGGTCGGTCGAGAGAATCAAGTTTGCCTAGTAGACTTACAGAAAGACATTACCCGGACTTTATTCCGCCAACCGAGAAAAAAACTTCTCCTACCAGATGCTGTGTTGTATGTTGCAATAGACGTAATGAGGAAGGGAAGAAAGTGAGGAAAGAAACCAGGTATTACTGCGAAGATTGTGGAGTTGCGTTGTGTATAGTACCGTGTTTCGAAATATACCATACTAAAGAAAATTATTAACTTCAATTTCATTTATTATATTTTGTAATTATATCATGTATATTCTTACAATATTATATTTTATTTTTATTTTTTATAATATGTAATTATATGTGCAATTTTATATCATTACATTTTATTTCTATTTATTAAAACTTGTAATATTAAATTTATTTTTATTTTTCTGTTTTGTCACGTTTAATATGTTTAATCCTGTTTCCAGTGGATCCAGAGTTTGACTTGGAGGTAGTTTATTTACACTCTGTTGGGCGTTGTTTATAACCTCAAGAAATTTCGTAATTGTATACCGAATAGAAGTTTTTTTCTGTACCTTTCTCTGATTTTACCTATACAAATACGTAGTAGTTCAAATGATCGAAAATAACGTGTTATATTTGAGTATTTGCGATAATTAGAACACATGTGGTAAGAAATCCGATTTCCCCTCAGACGCTCATGGAAACGATCTGGGAACATCAACCAACATCGTAGGAGGTGGTGACGGGTCACACTCATTGGTATAGCCCCGGAACCAGAAAAGGAAGGAAGAAGTAAATTTTGTATAAGAGTGAAGGTGAAGGTGAAAAGAAGTAAGATAGGATAGTTGAAAGTTGTTGAGGGATCCATGGGTTCCTGCAATGCATTTAATTGGATTGAAAACAAAGTGCATAATATATGCAAAGATGAGCATACAATTACAGTAGTACATGTTTTTGTGGCGCGATAATTGAGAACTATTTTACCGATACGCGTACATAATACAAGCTTGTTGAGCTGACAGAAGCGTGTACAATAAATTTTTCAGGTACCGTTCACGGTACTAACATAAGAATGGGATGCTTTTAATTGGCTAGAAAAGAGAATAATGTCACCTAAATAGGCCAAAACGATTATGATGTGACAATACTGTTCGTAAAACTGCAGTTGGCATCCAGGGGTACAATTACACGCACAATTAGTAGCACTTAGGGGCCGTCCATAAATTACGTAAGGTATTTTGGGGTGGGTGGGGTCAAGGATTTCTTACGATTTCTTACTCAGGGGTAGGGGGTAATAGATCTCGTCTTACGTAATATTCTTATTTTTATTTTTGATCTCGTTGAGTGGTGGCGTTTTGAATTTCGCTTCAATTTGGCGGTTTCTATTAAGAATGCTTGTTGTATCGTGTGACGTGATACAGTAATAACGTTAGCAGAATTACGCTCTACACATTTTTTGTCATGGGAGAAAGACCGTGTGGTGGTTTCTGTCTTGTTTTTTTTATTAGAATACGTGTACCACTCTTATGCGTGTATAACACTAACAATACATAAACCAAAATACATGATACAAAGTAAACATAAAATTAGTATTCAGCTTTTAGTGAAAACTAAAATGTGAAATTAGAAATTATAAATAGTCTTTTCTTCCATGTTTTTTTTAATATAATTGTAAAAAGCATCAAACAGTGGCTTCTGAAGAAGCTTATCGAGTGGACACGGCCACCCGAAACCAAACGTAAAAATTTTTATTTTCAGAATAAGTCTATCTTGATCGTAAATTGGACAATGATAGATCATACGGTCGACGGTGTCTAGGTTTTCTGTAGAGCAAAAGCAAGAAGCAGTTTCTGCCCGGTTATACGTCGCCAGGTAGCTTCTAAAATTACCACGCTCAGTAAGTAGTAGAGCAGTAGCAAACGTTAAATCTCGAAGTAGTGATGAGACCCTACATTCAACACTGGGAAAATAAAGTCTTGTTATTCTACTAGTTTTACTGCTCGACTACTTTTACTGATTCCACTTTTGCATAGCGTTGTCACGAATATAATTTTTAAGGCTGCTACATGAGAGAGGGATGCGAGTGTAGTCAGAGTCAGTGTCCTTTGCAGCTGACTTAGCCTCAAAGTCTGCTTTTTCATTTCCTGGTATGCCAGTATGACCAGGAACAAATATAAAAGTTATCTTATTTACAAGACTTTTAATATGGTGCTTGATATATGCGATTTTACTGCTATTGCAATTGGGATTTAATAGAGCCTTTAGGACAGACTGAGAATCACTGTAAATGTTGATAGACAGTTTCGTTTGGTAGTGAAGTGGCCCACTAAACAGCTTGGTAGTCAGCATCTTCAGCTTGATAGATGGAGGTAGTTGTACCTTCTAACATATTTTGCCAAAATATGTCAGTTTGGAGAAAGATACAGATACTTGAGCCGACAAGAAGAGAGCTTTTGTACCCTTGGGAGCATAATTATCCATGGAGGAAACAGATTACACCAAATAATCTTGTTTACAGGATGATGATCAGAGATAGTAGGGTAATTGCAATGCGGTAGCGTATGAACAGCCGTAGATAGGAGTAGAGACCGTTGTTGAGCCCTGATGTTTGTAGTTCTGATGTAGTAGTTTAGAACCTTTTGGGACAAGATTATGGTCGGAGACTCGCTACTAAGCGGGATCACTTCGACGCTCACGGCGGGTTTCATTGTCATTCTCCAATCTTCTTTGGTATCGCTGGTTTTTAAGCGCGATCGTTCAAACTTCGCTGGCCATGGCGTCGTCCACGATGCATTTTCGGTGAAATTAACCTATCCAATGTCGAATTGCTTTCCGTTGCCTGTCACCCCGGGTTGAATGCTTGTCGATTCCTATCGAAAACTTCCCGTTTTTGAAAAAAATAATCATCGCTATTGTATCGTCCAAAATTATTTTTTTATTTTGCACAAACAAAATAAGGCTGGATTATAGATTACCACCTATGGAATTTCGGGACTTTGAGTATATATTTGAACACAGGGGACCGAGACGAGTTCAACGGTCCCTATTTTTGGACCGGAGACTTAAAATAAGAAAGTTATCATGTTTACAATTTCTTGCCGTTCATTTCTATGCATTCTATGCCATTTAGTTGTCCACTAGGTAGCGTTCGACTGTTAGTGCAATTTTTTGCCTTTCACAGTGCTTTTTTAATGGTTTGCAGACTTTACCGCAAGATGGCGGTACTAGCAACTATAATGTCGTCCGCATGATAGCATTAAAAAAGTATAACTTTTTTATTTTTCGTCTCCGGTCCAAAAGTAGGGTATCGTTGAACTCGTCTCGGTCTCCTCAGTTTAGATATATACTCAAAGTCCCGAAATTCCCTGGGTAATAATCTATATAATCCCCCAAAATAAATATATAAATAAATGTAAAATCAAAAATAAATTGTATTTCGGAAGTTAGTTTTGATATAAAGTTATAACGACTAGCGCCCTCTAGTTTCAAAAACGTGCAACGCTCGCATTTTTAACTTCACAACGAGCAACGCATGCGCAAATGTCGCACCAGCGCCTGTTTGTAGAAAGAGTGTCGCCATTTTATATTTTATTTTGACTGGGTTCTCGGTTCCTTACCAGAAGTACTTACAAGTCTGGTTTTTTTATGCGCGCATGATTTGGACACCAAATATTCTGTGCCAAATTGCAACTCCTGGCATGTACTCCTTCATACCTCTAAGGCAGTGTTTCCCAACGTGGGGCCCACGCCCCACAGAGGGGCAATTCAATTTTTAATGGGGAAATTTGAAAATGGATTCGTCCAGAGTTTAAGTTAACCGTATAGCCGCTGTATATGTTATGGGGGCATAAGAAGTTTAGAAAGGCTTAGGTGGGGCATAGCACAAAAAAGATTGGGAAACACTGCTCTAATGTGTCCAGTCATTGACAGAAGCGCCATTTTATATACTTGATTTGTTTATTTAAATGAATATTAATTATCAATAATAATAAAAAGTGGATTTTACCAAACAGAATTTTAAAAAATTTAACAGGCGTTAAGCAACATTCATTTAAAATATGCAATTTGTAATTCTCAATTATAAAATATTAATTTAAATGACTGAAAGCTTTTTAAAATTATTTTATTTTAAAATTTAAAGTATGTTTTCAATCCACAAAATTATAAGAGATTTATTCTGTTTAAGAAGTCACAATATGCTGTTATACAAGCTGTCAGAAAACAAATTTTATTATAAACACAGTCTACAGATTGGTACTGGTCCAAGAACCATGCTTTAATTAATATTGTAATGACAAATGTGAGAAACCGGGGGTAGAGCGTCAAACTCCAAACCCCTTTTGATCGGCGATAGATCGACGAGATCCGCCAACGTTGTCACTGGATGGCTGGTTTACGGTTGGAAGTGGAGAAATCGTAAAATTTCTCACTCTTGTCAGGACTGATACCAGTTAAGAAATAACACGTCTTAACTCGCGATTTTCGTGCTCCTACGGTTATTGGAAGGCCTTTTAAAATATCGAGCCGTGGACAAGTCAATAGGGGTTCAAGTTCCGAAAAAGTGAGTCGACGCCATGTTTAATGTAATAACAGATTTACTATAAATCTAAAACCCAGATAACAATATATAGCTACTACTAAACATACAGTTACTTGTTAAGCATATATACGGACGGCTCTCGCGAGTGCTAAGGATATCGTTCCCTCGTACAGTACAATCTACTTCTAATTGAGAGAGAGAGAGAGAGTTTACATGCGTAATTGAAAGTATTCTACCTGGTGCAGCTGATCGTTGGTTCCCGATCCGATTGTATTGGACGTTGGCGATATGGTTGTCGGATGGGCTATCGGTAGGGAGCGAAGATTCGGGAAATATGTGCTGAAAGTCACCTACATACTTCACAAGGCAAAAGGGTATTCCTTTAGGACTGATCGCCCTGAAGATCGGGGTGCGTTCGCGTTATATCCACATTAACTTGTAAGTGTGGAAATCTGATCAGGTGGATGTTTGTTTGGTAGCGATGACACGTCAAAGGTGTAAACAAAGTTGATTCGAAGGTTTAGTATTTCCTTCGATTGTTTTTAGGTTTCCTCCTTAGACTAAGTTAAGTATTGATATCAACTTTCTCACATTTGACAATCCAGCGCTATAACATATTTGCGATAATTTCGCGAGTCTATGTAAAGGAGGAAAGGACTTATTGACAGTTAAGTCAATATTCGCTATTCTCTCGTTTCTAACTCCGTAGAAAACGGACAGTAAAAGGGAAAGTTTCTAAACGTATCTTTTCGTTTAAAAGTATAGAAAAACAACCCCTGTATTCTCACACAAACACTATTAAACTATTGAAAAATTCAACATTTAGTCAAAACGTACAGAATACAGTACAAAGGTTTTGAATTTAGAAATAAAATGCATTAAGTGAATTAGCGAGCAAAAGTGGCTCTAGGCAGAAGGTTAGTTCAGTTAGGAGTCAGACGAAAAGTTGGCCGAGTGTACAAAACGTATATAAAACAGATGATGAAATTCGACTTCTAATTATAAATTAAGACCTTTCCGAATATAATTAAATTCAGAAAAAAACTGTTGAGCCTTTTTTCAAAATTGCAAGGCCATGCTCCGTAATAAATGACAAAAAGTTATGTTTAAGAGGATAAACTGGTACGATTAATTTTTATTTTTTAAATTAATAATTTTAACGCTTTTAAATAAACTTTATGTATCTATTTTTTAATGTCTTCATCACTTTAACGCCCGCGTTAAAAATGCACGTATTTTCTTATTTTCACCAATAGTTTTTTTTTCTTAGCATTAAAAACTTTGTTAATGGTTTTCTAAATAAATATTCAGAAGCTTCCACCGCTTCCAATGACGGCACGCTACTGCTCCCTCGTAATATCATATTTACTGGTGTGATAAGCCCTAAAATATTTAATAAAGTGATTAGGTTATAACAATTTAAGGTAGTAACAAAGAGCAATAAAGCAATGAGTATTATGTTCGCGCGTAAAGAAAACTCGGAAAACTCCACGTCAACAGTTTGTGATTGATTGACATTCTCTTCTATTAATTATCTGATCATTATAACATATTCTAAAATGAACTAAACAATGAAACTTATAAATTTACAAATTTAGAAAACATTTTAATATTATTTGCATATTTCGTTACAGTTTTATTCTCTTAACAAGATTTATCGGTTAAAACTGCCAACGATTTGGATTTAATTGGATTTGATGGATTATTCGGACATAATTTTTTTGTTTCCGCTAATCGTTTGCTGAAATATATCAATAATTGAATTATTATGCAATTAATGCAAAATATTTTAAATGTATTTAAGGTAATTTAAAGAAAATGTTTAAAAACAAACGAAACCAATCATAACTTACTTTAGTTCAACGATATTCATTGGAACTACTCTTATATATTCTACATATATTTTTTTAGTTCGGATCCAGTTTAACGGATTGGCTATCGAAGAAGAATCCTTCCAATAAAGTCCTACACTTCTAACTTGTCCAATGTTTTTATCTGTTGTTACTAAATAAGCATAACGACTTCCTGCATATAAAGTCACATCTCTGAAAATAATATTTATTCATTTTAGTTTTATAGTCAAGAAAATTGCTATTCAGATATAATATATATATACATATATAGACTATATAAATATATAAATACATAATCTTACTCTCCGCTCAAGGTGCTTTCTAAGTCAGAAAATTCTCCATGAAGAGTAACTTTTACACTTCCGGTAACGTCTTCTGCATTTTTCGCGCGGAATAATTTTATAATTATTTGATAATGAAAAACTGTAACAATAAAGATAATTCTTATTCCATTTTTCAAATATAAATTGAAAATATTGTAATATTCATTAAATAACTTATATTTACGGCAATAAGGAACTCGTCCACTAGTCTTCAGGTAAAGCTTCAAATTTGTGTGATTAAATCGTTTAGATTCTATAGCTCTAGGACCCATTATAGCACATTGGCTACCGTCTGGTCCGCATTCAGCACATTTGCCTTCTAGAAAAGTGTTCCAATTTGAACATCTGTATCCAACAGAAACACAAGAACCGTAATTGATTGTACTGGTAAAGAAATCCACTGCCCTTTGATGGTTACAAGCAACGAATCTTCGACCACCTACGTGATAAAATATTCATTAAACCCTGAAAAATTCAAAATAAAAATTTGAGTAGTAATCTCCGATAAACTGTTTGCTTAAGCAATTTTCTGCCTTGTACTTCTGTCTCATGCTGGATTATAAGTCTACCATCAGCCGACGGTTTATAGAGGAGACCTGCCAGCACGGAACAAACACCGACGAGGGGTCACCAGTCATCCCTCAGTTTTCATTCGGATCGACCTTCTCGAGGCATCTTTACACCTGCAAACGACTCGCCATCTCGACTCCAGGCCAGCTCCTTTGCATCCCCTTTCCTACTACTTTCTCGTAGTTTCAAGATTCGATCTTACATTGTAGTAAGTATCTATTTGTTTATTTATTAAACGCGAATTATATGGTAAATCCATGTCAGCACACTAGCCACGTACGATGCAAACCTGTCACGTCATCCTGACAGATTGCGAGAAAAGCGAGAAAGTTTTATCATAAGATAGGAGAGTCTATACCACGTGAAGAAGTGACCAGACAACGCACAATCGAGTAAAAACCTTACATTTATGTTTCATGAACATCAGAAAAGAATTTTAAGATTAATTCAAAATAATTGTAAGATTTTATTAAACATTTACCTTCTATTAATCCGTCTGTTATTATTGAGGTAAGTTTGCTACTCATGCAACCGGGTTGACTTTGCCCATTGTTAGGAAAGAAATCTACATGACCTACTAATTGACTCATACCTAAACCTACAACATATTAAAAACAATTTTAAACAGGTCTGTCTATGTCTAATTCTTATAAAATGTTACATTAGCAATGCTTATGGAATTATTTAGAATTAGTAATGTATTTAAACATCTACCCATCATTAAAATACTCTTAGAATCAGTATGGACTGCGTCAACAAAATCAGCATCGGTTTCATCTAGACGAACTATTGGTGGAAGCCCTTGAAAATAAGGTTCTGCTGGATCCAATCCTGTTTTCGAAAAGAAAATTTAACATAATGAATAATTAAATGATAAACATCTGTAACTCGCTGACAACAGTTTACTACAATTTTTTGCAACTAATTACTTTTATTTAGTAAATGCTGCAGAATTCTAAGTGAAATTTGATACAAGGAATTTAAGTTATAATAAATTAATAACATATAAAACATGGGTTTAGTTATTAATATAAATCTAAATACATTTATAATAAATATTATATAAAATGTTGCTTTTGTCTGTTCGTAACATTATCAGAAAACTTTCCAGCTGCAAAAACAAAATAACGTAATATGTTATTCATTTTGTTACCTATATAATCTATTTGTCTTACAGTCACGGGCAATTTCACTTCTTAGTCGATAAATTTATGGCTTTAAAAACTTATCTTAATTATTTTGCTTTCTAGCTTAGTGACTTTGGTTTATGTAATGTTCGTTATTTCAATTAATTTACATTACGGTTTATTTTCAGAATCTATAGGCCTGTGTAGTGTACTTAAAGTTTAGATTATGTATAAATACTTAGCCAATTGTTTGAAAAACTTGAAAATACTGTATATCAAAATCTCAAATCAACTGATACAGTATTAGTAACATTTAGTTTATATTAGAAATCAGTTTTAATAATCGTTAAAAATAACTAACTAGAATAAAGCACGTGTTTTATGTTAATATTAAGTTTCAATTATACAAAACGTTTCAAAATCAAGCCACAGACTGAATAGCGACGGCCGGCAAGATTTCCAGTTTAGATACTCGATTCGGACACCGTCCGATATCGATACTTTAAGATCGAAACCGATACTGGTATCGATATTTTTGTGGTATCGGAGAGTCCCTGCCCCTAAGTACGTCAGTAGGCCAGTAGTTAACCTTATTCACAAATATACGGAATTATTTTCAGATAATTTTGTAATGACTGGGGAGAAAAGTAAACGAGGGAGCAATCTTACGTTATTAAAGACTCACCCCCATCGATATCAATTGTCAGATACAAATGGATCCTGGACTCATAAACTTCTGATGTAATACTTGAATTGCTCTTTGATGTAAGAACTGCTACTGACACAAATGAAGAGAAATTTAATTATTCACTATGATCACACGATTTTAAAAGGTGAAGTTAAATGGATTAAGTGTTGCTTTTTGGCATATTTGACAATGTTTTTACTAAATTATCTTTTTTGTTTCAATGTATAATTTACAGATTCCAGTGGTCTGTTTGTTTCTATTTAAATAGCAAATTAAATATAATTTATATATTATATTTTAAGACATTTTTATATTTTTTTCTAAGAAATATTAAGATTTTTTTCAAGATAAATTGCTTAAATGCATATAAATTTAAAAATATTTAATTAA